AAATGAGGACCTAATGCCAGGGGTTTAAGTGGAGAGGAAATGTTTTGAGAATGATGAGGGCAATGAATGTACAAATGCGCTTTATACAATTGATGTATGTCTGGATTGTGGTAAGAGTTGTATGAGCCCCTAATAAAATTATTATTTTTTAAATTTTAAACAAAAGAAAGGTTAAAAAAAACCACCTCCCTTTTCAATAAGCAGCCAGCACTGTATACCCCAGGATTCCAGAGAAAGATGTGATGATCATTTTTCTTTTAACATGCCCTTAGCCAACGGTGACCTACTGAGCTATTTATAGATGACAGCATGCAGTGTCTGGAATTTACCCCATCTGTGACCTAGTGACAGGGGAAGTGGCTGGGGGTGTGGGTGACAGGCAGATGGATACATACGGGCTCATCCCAATTGGAGGGTCAGTGACGGGGACCATCACCCCCTTCTCGCTGCGGACTGGTGGCCTGAATTTCCCCCTCATTAAAGAGGGAAAGTACCCTCGTTGGTTAGATCCTAACTTGTCCCTTGTGGGGCACGGCGTTCCTACAGGACCGGCTCTCTCTCGACTGGACACGCCGGGGACAGAGGAGGCTTTCTGCTCCGGTCATCGCCGTCCAGCGTGACAGTCGGGAGAAACCCACGGGGCAGTTCCACTCGGCCCTCAAGGGTGGCCATGAGTCGCGATAAGTCGCCATGAGTTGGAATCAACATGACGGCAGCGAGTTTGGTTTTCCGCATCTAGTACAGGACCGCTGGTGGCACTGTGGGTTAAGCGATGGGGGGGGCCCCCCGCAGCCGTTGGACTCCACCGGCCACCCCTGGAGGATTAAGATGAAGTCGTCTATTCCCAAAAAGATCTACAGCCTCAGAAACGAGAGAGGGAGGGGGCAGCTCTTCTCTGTCCTGCAGGCTCGCTGTGGGTTGGAAGCATCTGGAGCAGAGCTGGTTTGAGTTTGGCTCGGTTTGGGGTCTTCTGGGAAGTGCGAGTGAGGTCAGAAGCTCAAAACCACTAGCCGCTGTGCGGGAGAAAGGCAGGGGTGTTCTACTCCTATAAGGAGGGGCCTTACAGTCTTGGACACCCATGGGGGGGGTGCGGATTCTACCCTGCCCCATAGGGTTGCTACGCGTCAGAATTGACTGGAAGGCAGCACGTTTGGTTTTGCTTGGTCCAAAGGGCAACAGCCCTGGGAAACCAGAGCTCTAGGGGCACTGAGTGGGTGGCACCTTGAGCCGCTTACCAGGAGGTCAGAGGTTCAAAACCATCGGCCGCTCTTTGGGAAAAAGAGGAGGCTGTCTGCTCCCGTAAAGACTTACAGTCTTGAAAACCCATGGGGGCAGTTCTACCTTGTCCTGTAGGGCCGCTGGGGAGTCGGCATCAACTCAAGGGCAGTGAGTTTTTTTTTTGGGGGGGGGGTGGTTGGTTTTGTTTTAAATATATGGGTATAATACACATGTTATTGCTATTAGCTGCTGTCAGGTGGGTACTGATTCACCTGGTGTGGTAACTCATGGTGTCACCCCACACCTATCATCCCACTCTGAACCTCTTTCTGTAACAGACCACACAGAATCTTTCATAATTACCACTCATGGTGACCCTAGAGGGCAGAGTAGAACGGCCCCTTTCTGTTTCCAAGACTTTAAATCTTTATGGGAACAGACCGCCTTCCATGGAACACTTGGTGGGTTCAAACCGCTGACTTTATCATTAGTAGCCCACTGTGTAGCCCACGACTGCATCAGAGCACCTGTTCTCTCAGATACATATGTGAAAAATTGAAAATTGATATGGAGGATTGTGCATATCTCTTTTTCATCAGAAGAGTTTTGGTATGGGGGTGGAGGATGGCACTGGCCAATAATTATTGATGATGCACCATTCAGTCACATGCAATAGATATTTTCCAAGCAGGTCCCACATACCAGGCCTTGCTTTAGGCTCTGGGGATATGTTGGTCACCCATAACAGTCACGGTCTTCGATGTGATGTAATAGTGCAATGTAGTTTAATGAGGAAGAAAGCTTTTATTCAGATCACCTACATTTCTTTTTAAAAATTTATCTATTTATTTTTTAAAAATCATTTTATTAGGGGTTCATACAACTCTTATTACAATCCATACATACATCAATTGTGTAAACCACATTTGTACATTTATTGCTCTTATCATTCTCAAAACATTTGCTAACCACTTAAGCCCCTGCCATCAGCTCTTCATTTTTCCCCTCCCTCCTTGCTCCCCCTCCCTCATGAAACCTTGATAATTTATAAATTATTATTTTGTCATATCTTACACTGTCCGACGTCTCCCTTCACCCACTTTAGTGTTGTCCATCCCCCAGGGAAGAGGTTATATGTAGATCCTTGTAATCGGTTCCCCCTTTCCAGCCCACTCTCTCTCCACCCTCCTGGTATCGCCACTCTCACCACTGGTTCTGAAGGGATCATCCATCCTAGATTCCCTGTGTTTCCAATTCCAGTGTACATCTTCTGGTCTAGCCAGATTTGTAAGGTAGAATTTGGATAACGATAGTGGGTGGAGGGGGAAGAATTTAGGAACTAGAGGAAAATTGTATGTTTCATCGTTGCTACACTGCACCCTGACTGACTCATCTCCTCCCCTCGACCCTTCCGTAAGGGGATGTCCAATTGCCTACAGCTAGGCTTTGGGTCGCCACTCCGTATTTCCCCTTATTCACAATGATATAATTTTTTGTTCTGATGATACCTGATACCCGATCCCTTCGACACCTCATGATTGCAACCTGATACCCAATCCCTTCGACACCTCATGATTGCACAAGCTGGTGTGCTTCTTCTATGTGGCCTTTGTTGCTTCTGAGCTAGATGGCCGCTTGTTTACCTTCAAGCCTTTAAGACCCCAGACAGTATATCTTTTGATAGCCGGGCATCATCAGCTTTCTTCACCACATTTGCTTATACACACATTTGTCTTTAGCGATTGTGTCGGGAAGGTGAGCATCATAGAATGCCAGTTTAATAGAACAAAGTATTCTTGCATTGAGGGAGTACTTGAGTAGAAGCCCAATGTCCTTCTGCTACCTTAATACTAAACCTATAGATATATGCACATAGATCTATTTCCCCCTCCTCATATATAAATATATTTGATAAGTACATGCCTTTATTTAGACCTCTATAAGTGCCCTTTGCCTCCTAGCTCTTTCCTCTATTTCCTTTTACTTTCCTTTTGTCCCACTATCATGTTCAACCTTCATTTGATTTCAGTAATTTCTCTCGGTTACATTACCCTTGACCAAGGCCTACCAGGCCTCCTACACCCTCCTCACCACTGTTTTGGATCACTTGTTGTCCAATTGTTCCTGCGTTTGTTAACACCACTTCCTTTTCCCCCGCCTCCCCCTCTCCCATGTCCCCCCGGAACTGTCGGTCCCATTTTTTTCTCCTCCAGATTGTTCATCCAGCCTATGTTATTTAGACAGACCTGCAGAGATAATAACATGCACAAAAACAAGACAGAGAAGAACCAAGCAACAATATACAACAAAACAACAACAAGCCAATGACAAAAAACAAAGCAAAACACAACAAAAAGAAAGAAAAGCTTGTAGTTAGTTCACGGACTGTTTGTTGGCCTTTAGGAGTGTTTCCGGTAGAGTCTGACGGGTCCGCCAAGCCATGGTCCCAAAGTCTATTTTTGGTATTCCCTGGGGACTTCGTTGCTCTGTTCCCCTTGCTGTTCTGTTGCACGCCCTTAGTGTTTTGCCTCGGTGTGGTGGGATCAGATCGGGCACAATTCCCACACTGTGTCTCCAGGGTTGTCCCCTGTAGGGATATGGGTCAGTAAGGGATGTCAGGTCTCATAGTGGGGCAGGCCATATGCTCTTCTCTGTGGATTGGCTGCTCTGAGCGGGAATATCGTCCTCCAGGCTTGGTGGGCCAGGATGTGCTCCACTCTCTCTTCCTCCCACTTCTTTTGCTCCCGTGTGCTCTGCAGGGGGGAGAGGCAGGCAGATCACTTATATTTCAATATATAATCACAAAGAAAAATACAACAGGCTATGAGAAGCTAGGGGAGAATTGGGGCACTTTCTTTATACTGGGGGGTATTGGGAAAGATTACCCTGAGGAGGTGACATTTCAGTTGGGGCTTGAGGGGATGATTGAGGGGCTGACTTGTGAAGAGTTAGAGGGACAGTGGCCTAGATGATGGGAAGCAGGTGTGCGGGCCACCAGCAGGTGCATGGTGAGTGAGGTAGCACTGCAAAAGTACCCGTTCCCACCCCTGAGGTAAGCTTCAGAAATGAATCTGTCTGAGACATAGATTCCAGCAAAGACTCCCAAACTAGGTGCAGGTATCAGAGAGCCACCGGAGGCCCCACGAAGAGATTGGCTGCGTGGTTAGGCACCATTGGAAGCCCTTGCATTCTACCTGAGCAGCAATTCCAGGAACCTCAAGAATGTTTCCTATGGGGTCCTCTAGAACAGAAACCAGCCAGGTTAAAAGGCAGTGTGTCGTCCATGTCATTTGAATCATCGTGAGGAGTCGTCTTCTCGTGATGTGTTAAAAACAGGTATTTTCCTGAGTTATTCGAAACAAAGGAGGGGGGGGGCAGGTCTAGATGTAGAGTGGAAAAGGCATCTCAGAGGCTAATGACAGTGAGTATGCATCAAGCTGGGGCCAGCTGGGGCTGAGGGCTCAGGCCCCAGGCTGCGGAAGAGGTACATGGAAGGACAATCTTTGAAGGTCCATTGTCACTTTGCCTCCTAATCAGCTCCGGGATGGGAGAGAGGGGCAGGGTGGGACACTTAGCATGAAACAATTGGAAGGGACGACGCCAGGGAGAGCGCTCCACTCGGAAGGGCGGAAGGCGACGACACAGGGTCCCCTAGCTCTAAGAGAGGGGCAAGAGGGGGCGGTGCGAGCCCCGCCCCCTCCCCTGGCGGGCGCCGGCGCAAAACACGGCGCGGAGGCAGCAGCAGTGGCAGTGGCAGCGGCGGGCGCGAGCGGCAGCTGTCAGGCCACCCACCGAGGTCCGAGCTGCACTTGCTGCCCCCGCCGAGGACGAGGCTGCGGCCGGAGCAGTGACGGTGTCATTCAAGAATCGGACCCCAGGCGCACAGAACAGACCTCGCTGGTACCCACGGCCCTTTCCACTCCCTCTCCCATCCTATTGGGTAAGGGGTCCGTGCGGGGCAGGGAGAAGGGCCAGGGGCCAGCGGACCGGGAGGGCAGGGCGAGGGGGTGGCCTGTGGGAAGGGGGAAGAAAGGAGCTCTAGGTAGCCCCCAGGGCCCCTCGAGCCTAGAAAGGGGCCTAAAAGATGTGGAGGTTGGAGCTGTGTTGGGGGTGGGGGGGTGGGGGGGCGGGGAGGTAGGTGATGATGGAGGGGGGCATTGCTGAGTAATCCAGAGCAACTGCCAAAGCCCGGCAGTGAGGTGCAAGGCTCCATAGGGAGCGGGTGTGGCCCAGTGCGCATGCGCCACCGCTGTCTCCCTCTAAGTCGAGCTGCCGGGGTGAGAGAATCTGTTCCCTAGGTAGTGGAGAGGACCAGATAGCGTCGGACTTTCAAGGTTCCCTGTGGCCCCAATGTACCCCTCACAGAGACGCCAGCATTTTCCTGTACCCTCCTACTTTCATATGTCACTCGAACCCTATGTACTTGTTCCGGCAGTAGCCTCAGAAAGAAGAGGCCAGGAGGCAGTGCCTCTTACTCGGCTCTTGGGCTCTGAGACCCAGAGCTGTAGTTGTGAGGAGTGAAGGAAGGGTTAGAGGTGAATTTCCACGCTGAGGCCTTCTAGTAAGATACAAAGCCGGGCCTAAATGTGTGCATACTCCAGTGGCGTACAGCTGTGGGATTTGGACTCCCAGTCTGAATGAAGCTACTAACTTAACCTTGGAAAAGGAATCTACTGGGGGACGGACTACAGAAAAGTGGGTGAAGGGAGACGTCGGACAGGGCAAGATATGACAAAATAATAATTTATAAATTATCAAGGGTTCATGAGGGAGGGGGGAGCGGGGAGGGAGGGGGAAAAACGAGGACCTGATGCCAGAGGCTTAGGTGGAGAGCAAATGTTTTGAGAATAATGAGGACAATGAATGTACAGATGTGCTTTACACAATTGATGTATGTATGGATTGTGATAAGAATTGTATGAGCCTCTACTAAAACGATTAAAAATAAATAAACAAGAAAGAAAAAAGGAATCTAGTACCTCGGAGGGCTTCCCTGACACCAATGCTGCCCCACTCCACAGTAGGTTGTGTTTTAAATGGCCTACACCATTTAAGTTATAGTATCTTAAAGGTACCCCCATTTCTTACCTGAGCTGAGATGGGCGGAGACTGAATAAAGTCCCACCTAGTTCTCTAGTATAAAAAAAGCCCATGCACCGCCATCAAGCCAAAGCTGACTCTTATCAGTGTAACTATTTATCAGAGTAGAAAGTCCGGTCTTCCTCCCACATAGCTGTTGGTGGTTTTGAACTGACTACTACGAGGATCACACCCTGACACGCAACCACTACACCACCAGGGCTTCCTAGTTCTGTAGTATAGTGTTTCCACATATTGTGCCAGAACTCAACTGTGAGTTGACTAGCTTAATTAGGGTGAAATGCTTTCCCCACAGTTCCACCAATGGCTCCATCGCCGCTCTCATCCACCGACCAGCGCTAGTGTTCTTGCCCTAGCTATCCCTGCAGTCCCCATCCTTCTCCAGATTTTCAACCCGCACTACTGATTCGGAGGTCATTTCACTCACGGCAACCAAATTGACATTCCCAATTTGCCTTTCTGCCTCTCTTCACTCCATCGCGACATGAAAATGTACTGTTTGAAAGACTCAGCTTCTTTCTCTTCAGAGCACTGCCTCTTTCACACCCCGCCCCCAGGATCTCCCAACCACACATAAGGATTTTAAACGACTCCTATAGGTGCAGGTACAACAGATTCTGACAGCGTCAAATGTGATAAGGAACAAAACAGATGGGGAACATTTTTTAACTCACTTGGCTGTTCAAGACGGAGCGTCCTAATTAAAAAGAGAAATGTGAACAAACGATCTTTAGAGAATGTTTGTACATCTATTTGGGGAAGGGATAGGAAAGAGAAAATGCTTCTGTAGGTTGTGGTCAAAGCCAGATCTTCCTCTGAATAGGCTGAAAATCAGAATAAGCATTTTGATGTGAATTCTAACCAGATATGGGACCAAAACAAAATACACAAGGAATTTAACTTTCCTATTAAGCATATTTAGGAATATTAAAGAATTCCCTTTGCCTTCTTATTTTCCAGCATATTCTTGGAAAAGCTCTTGTGCTTTTGAATTTAAGGGTGTCTTTTAGGACACTGTGCTTATTTCCAAAGTGTGAGGATGCCAACACCCACTGAAACGGAAAGTGCAGTTCATTAGCTCACTCTTTTTGGGTGGTGCTAATAGAAAAATGTGTATATATATTTATTTATCAAGTAATATATATCCCATATATATGTATAGCTATTAAAGGAATCCTGGTGGCATAGTGGGTTACAAGGTGGGCTGCTAACCACAGGGTCAGCAGTTTGAAACCACCAGCTGCTCCTTAGGAGAAAAAATGAAGCTTTCTGCTGCCATAAAGAGTTATAATCTCAGAAACCCACACAAGCAGGTCTACCCTGTCCTATCGGGTCTCTATGAGTAGGAATCGACTTAATGGCAGTGAGTGAGTATATACTTGTGTGTGTCTATATATATATTTGAAGATAAGCAGAAGGACTCTGGAGAATTTCCACTGACTTTCAACAGGTGGCACTATTGTTAAGCCATCAAAAAGATTATCCAGATAAGTTCCTAATATCTTGGTCTTCACTCAATTAAAAATAATAATAATTGGACATCTTACAAAACTGTGCATCTATTGTGCATTGGCATCAATACAAAAAATTCATTTTGGGCACCTACAGAATGAGTTCATTCATCAACATATATTTCTCTGGAGAACCCTGATGCTGCATGCTAAAGGAACTTCAAAATAACAGCAACAGGGACCATCCTAGGAATATAAAATCCAGCTGGGTAGGAAGGACCTACTTAGAAAAAGATGGCAACAAGTATAAGGCTGTGCAATGATATGACTGCAACTGTAAACTGTGAGTTTAAACTTGTATTAATCTCCAAAATATCTAAAGGAAAGACCTTGTCTTGAACATGTATTTTCCACTGTCTACAACCAGTGGGTGTTCAAGTAGTCAAGATCGCAAATTAGAACGGATGGGGAGAGAAGAGCCAAGAAACTTTCAAAGTAGATTAAATGTGAGCTGTGGGTCAAGATGAGGATGATAGAAGAGGATATGCAGAGGGAAAACCCCCAGGATTTAATGAAGGCAAGGAAACACGACTAGACTGCATTCATTTCTAACTCCAGTAAACAAATGGGAGTCGGAGACAGTAAAGGAAGCAGCACACAACAGACTCTCAAATGATGCTCAAGCATCAGTAGCAGGACTGGGCCTGAAAACCCTTAAGGTCCCTCCAACTCGAAGCTTCTGTGTCATATGCAGATGCTCAAGATTATTGAGGAGCAAGGCATTCTCAAATAGAGAAGAAAGAGAAAAGAAAGAATTGCTCTCCTCCCACTAGCCGACCCTTGATGAGAAGGGTTAATGCAGGCTCACAAGGCCCCTACCAGTGAAAGAAAGGAAGTATAAGAGGAACTAAAAATCGCAAACCAAGGCATTAAAGAAAAACCTTTTCAAATTCCTTAAATTATTCATCTTTCCTCAAATTTTGTGAGTTAAGTAGGATATATACCATGCACTCTGTTTTTATATTGGAAAATAGGGAGATACTGAAAAATGAAATGATCTTCCCATGTTCATAAAAGAATGGAATGGTGGGGTAACGATGAAGACCTTGGTGTCCCAATTGCTGCCAGCCCAGAGCTCTTGACACTAAACCCTTGCTTTATCGCTCTTTTTCCTGGTATTGTGCCTATGTATGCAGCAGTTATGTTTGCACATGACCACATAGGGAATGCACAGGCACCTGCAACATCTTCTCAGTTATACTGTGCCATGAGCAGATGCTCACGATGTCCATTATTAATACTTCGCCCTTATTCCTGGAAATGAGCATTTGGTTTCCACATTCAGTCAGTCCTTAACCTGGCTCTAAAATTTATCCGCAGCTCAGAAAGTAGGGTTAGAACACCTGTCTGCTAAGAACTTAAAGGAAGCTTATTTGGCATAGGTTCTTCATACTAGCTATCAGTTATGCCCAGGTTTCTACTTACTTTTGTTGCTTTTTGAAAGGAGAGATCACGAGTTTGGATAAAACGTCAATAAAAGAAATATTACTAAAAGTCATAATCATGGATTTACTGCTCCAGTGAGTCTCTTATTATATGCTTTATAGCTGTCAAACATGGGATTATTATGAGGCAGAGATTTTCTTTTAAAAGTCTCTTTATACCTTAGTAAGAAATAACACTTAAAAAAAAGAAAGAAAGAAAGAAAGACCATTCAACACGTCTAGGTACTATTTTTCTTTTTAGACCACTATTCTTGATGCTGCTTAAATAAGACCTTTGCCATAATTGAGTCTCGTATTAAATTATGGTTTGTTTAAATTTAGGAAACTTGATAAATCCAGCTGAATAGGAAAGCTGTATTCAAGACAGATGACTAAATTGATGAATAAAATTATTAGCCAAGGGAGCATGTGTGTGAACAAGGATTTCCCAATCATAATTTTTCTGACATGGGCAAGTGACTTCAAGAAAGCAAGACCTCTTCTCCTGTGTCCAAACATTTTTATCTTTTGTACCATATCGACCAATGAGACGTTAAACTAGAAGACTTAATAATTCAGAGAAAAATTGCTATGAAGTTGGTTTCCGTTTCAGGTTTAACTGTTTTCCCTCCTACTTTTTTCTTTTATTTTCAGGTTCTCTTGATTACAAACTCCTCCCTCTCTGGTACTACAGCAATGAGTGGGAAATCCCTGCTCTTAAAAGTCATTCTCTTGGGTGACGGTGGAGTTGGAAAGAGCTCACTCATGAACCGTTATGTAACCAATAAATTTGACTCCCAAGCTTTTCATACCATAGGGGTAGAGTTTTTAAACCGTGATTTGGAGGTAGATGGACGCTTTGTAACCCTCCAGATCTGGGACACTGCCGGGCAAGAACGTTTCAAGAGCCTTAGGACGCCCTTCTACAGGGGAGCAGACTGCTGCCTCTTGACCTTCAGTGTGGATGACCGGCAGAGCTTTGAGAACCTCGGCAACTGGCAGAAAGAATTCATCTACTACGCAGATGTGAAGGACCCTGAGCACTTCCCCTTTGTAGTTCTGGGTAACAAGGTAGACAAAGAGGATAGGCAAGTGACGACTGAGGAGGCACAAGCCTGGTGCATGGAGAATGGGGATTACCCTTATTTAGAAACAAGTGCCAAAGATGATACTAATGTGACAGTGGCCTTCGAAGAAGCTGTCAGGCAGGTGTTGGCTGTAGAGGAACAGCTGGAGCATTGCATGTTAGGTCACACCATTGACTTAAACAGTGGCTCCAAAGCAGGGTCTTCCTGTTGCTAAAAGTAGAGAGTGTTTTCAAAGTGTGCACTAAGTTGATCAGTCAGTAGTATAAGAATAACCATGCCCCTCTAAGGGTGCACACACATACACACACACAAGGGTAAAACGAGATAAGGCTGTGATTGTGAATCAGAGCCTTCCAAATTGAAATTGTAGAAAGATTAACAAAAAAAGCTTTATGAAGCCAAGTGCATTTTGTGTGATTTCTGCTATTTCCCCTTCTCGTGTGTATCAGGATATTTCAGAAAGCTTTAGTCCTGAGAGATGTTAATATTTTTCAAGTCACAATGTAGACCTAGAACCCAGCTGCATGAAGGAGTTAAAGAGCTACAGCCATCCTTTAAAGCATTTCATTAATCAACCAACAAATGTTACCATCAGACTCTTGCCAAACAGTTTGACATTTCTGCCAAATGGGGTTGGGTGGGTGGTGGGGCGGGATATGAGCTATGTTAATTTTTTTTTAAAGCAAACAAAGATGTCCTAAGCTTGAGTTATAAAGAGGCTGTAATGATTAGGAATGCAAACGTATAATAATGTACACTGCCTTGTTTAAATTCGTGTGTGTTGTTCCCTCTTGGAACTTTTCGAAAAATACCACCTCAATAAGAAATACACTAACGACACTGGAAATTCATTACACTCCTTGTGTTTGAAGTAAGAGGGTACTAGTGACTAAATTCTGCTTAAATATTCCAACCACTCTGGCAAATAAATGGTTGGTCTGCTTTTACTTCATGCGTCTACTTGTGCCACATAGGGATGTTGCTTCTTTGACAACCTCATCATTTAGCAATGCTGCTTAGTGTATGGCTTTGGGTTCAGTACGCTCAGCTCATAATTTAGATGGCCCTTTGGACCACCAAGCTGAGTTCACAGAGTAGGCTTCAGATAAGACTGGGGGATAATGGGCTTCTTTTTTTTCACAAGGTTCCTTAACTTGAATATTTATTGTATAAGAAGAAACGACTTTTTGTATGTTGCACAGTATGTTCCACAAGCCAAATTCAGACAGTTCAAAGTGACAAGAAAGCAGGTTGAACTCAATGTTAAAATGAACTTTCTCCTAATTCCAGTTGTCCAACAGTGGAATGGACTGCCTTAAATCGTGAACTCCCCTCCATTGGAAATATTCAAGCCGATGCTGGATGACCATCTGTTAGAATGCCATAAAAATAATGTCTGTACTGCGTAGCTGTTTGGTCTAGAATCCCTTCTATTTCTAAGTTCTAGAAACCTATCAACTATGTTTCAGTGTCATGTTCTAGCTTGATTTCTCTTAAGATACCAACCACGACTATGAGGAGGGCTTCAGGCAGGCTCACTATTCTGCTGTGGTCCTTTCACAGCCAGTGCGTAGTTAGTCCTTTTGCTTTTGCACCATGGCAGGAACAATTCTCCAGTTCTTAAGTGCTCTGATGTAAACATCCTGAAGATTAGAGATTCAATGCATAAGTGATTTGTCAGTTTCTTTTATGAATATGCAGCCTAGTTCTGTTGGCAGATGTTTGTCCTGCATCGCTTTTAATCTGTACTTTATAACATCTATGATAAAAAATAATAACCCAAGGTGGTGAGGGACAGTTAGAAATGACCCCCCCACCCCAAAGAGACCTAGGCCAGAGGGGGGAATGGGGTCTTTCACAGGGATACAGCCTAGAACTCTCCATTGTAGCCACATATGGAATCAGCCTTACATGTGGGACTTTATGTGCTTTAAGAGCTATGGGACTTTGGGGCCACATAGACAAGTGGAGGAAGGTATGTCAACCCAGTGATAGCTAGTATTTCCAATTAAGATATTGTCCTAACTTTTTGTCTAATGAACTCTGCTGCCAGAAGTCAAAGCTAGAACTGGGACCCCACAGCTCTTAAATATAGGTCCCATCCTGCCTATGCCTATAGCCAGTCACACTGGTGTCCAAGTTTTATGACCATTGTGCTACGATCATGTCACGGTGAAATATCTGTGCATTGCTGTAAATCAGAACTTTTCAATGCTAGTTGTTTTTAAGCGCATGAGACCTGGGGCCTTCTCTTTCTACTTGCACTCTGCTTATAATAGTTTCTATTTTTAGATCGCAGGCCTTCATAAAGATGTCCATCAACTCAGAAAGTGCTTGTCTCTATTAGAGTGGCATGTGGTCCTTTGAGCACAGAGTCATGTGGGCATCACATTCACAGGCCTCCTGTCCATCCAAGACAAGTGTCCATTTTATTGGCAGGTCAACTGAAGCTCCTTTCCTCTTTGCCATGCCCCAATTTTTTTGGTTGCCAAATCATTACACAATATCTTAGAGAAGGTGATTAATAATATTAAATGACAGATCGTATGAATAAGATTTAAAACACCAAAGACTGGAATCTGTGAGCACCAGAAACTGTGCAGATAGGTGTAGCGTTGACTACGTATCCTAGAATGCGCAGTGTAATGTTCTCAGCGGGTATTTTTTCTTTGAAATGAACACGAATTTCTGAGTCAGGCTCTTCAGTGGTCCACTGCAACATCATTCAGAGTATTTATTTTCATGTATCAGGTAAACATTCAAGGGGCCTCAGATTCCATGGGACTTCAGTGGATTGATGAATTTCAGGTTACTTTGTGCCTGCCTCAGTCATTTCTTCGTTATCCTGAGGTACCCCACAATCCTCTTGTTGCAGGTGCTGCTAACAATCTCAAATTTGTGTATCACATACTTTATTGCAACTGTTAAAAATCATTGCGTTTAAGTGAATAAAAAGTGCATTTTGAAGAACCAGTATATGATGTCTGTGTGCCATTCCCTCCTTTCTCCTTTCGAATAACTGTTGCGTGTGAAGAACAGTATGTACCAAGCTAGTTACTCTTTCTAGCTGTGCTGGATGTGACCTCAGGACCCTTTTTTGTACGGGGTTGGTGGGGCGGGGGTCACTTCAGGCAGCCATGACCTGGGAATCAAAACAGAAACCATTCTACGCATTGGAAAGCAAACTCAAAAGCTCAGGATGGGGAGGACTCGTTCATGGTATGCTACTCTTCAGAGGCATGAAGAGTATTGGGAGGAGACATGGGTGTTTGACTCCCTACATTATTTCTTGACTTTAATTTAAAACCGACCTTAAAGCAGCCCACAATATAAAAAGAATGCAGACTTCCCCCTTCATTTTCTTGACTATTAAATTGTTCATTCCATGGGGAAATATGAAACTATAGGTGAAACAAATAAGAAAACAAAGTGTAATTTTGTTAAGCACACCCTTCTCTTGCTTCTCACATACTGGGTTTTAAAGGTAGTTGCATTATCATCGAACAGCTTAAGTCTGCATAATCCCAAACAAACAAACAGAAAACACTGCCATCCAGTCTGATTCCTCCTCCTCCAGAACCTACAAAGTTTCTGAGACTGAATATTTCCGAGAGCAGACAGCCACATCTTTCTTCCTAGGAGCTGCTGGCAAGGTTACCAGCCCAATGTGTCACCTCCACTAGACACAGTGAGGTTGTTCACATTAGGACCACCTGTGTCTCCACAGACCATCATTTCAGTCCCTTGATTTCATTTGCCAGATTGAGGACTCTTCTTTCCCTCTCTTCCCTTTGTCCTCTTGGAACTTCGGGCCGTTGAAATGACAGGAAAACAACTTAGATTTTTGCTACCTCTATCGTTTCTATGTCTGAAAATCATTATTTAGTAAATTATTAGACAGTGTTTCAAACACGGCCCCCAAACCCTTCTCATTAAGCTATAATGATGTGGCCAATATGCTCTAGGAGATCAGATTTATAAACTTCTTAAAAAGAATTTGCTCATCTCAAACTGACATTTTAATCACAGAAAATTAGTTTGGGGGCTTGCTGTTTTTCTGCCTAATTCATCACCCACCAAGAAATGTCCTTCTCTTGATGTCTTAAGAAATAGCAGTTTAAAAACAAAGAAAGAAAGAAAGAAACAAAAAACCCCAAAACGCTTTGCCTGTGTTCCTTCCAGAAACTGGAGGGCAAGGCCTAGATCGTTTCTCTTTAATTTGGTCATTGAATTTTTAAAGCATACTGGAAAATTGAGGCCTTCATTTCAGGAAGTTCAGGAGGGATTTGAGGAGTGCACCTCTACTTCACTTGAATCGCGTAAACTAGTCCTACATACAATGTTTTCTTCTTGTTGCTGCTTTCCACCTTGGTATGGGAAGTACCATGGAGTTGTTTCTGACTCACAGTGACAGGAAGAAACAGGGCCCAGTCCTGTGTCAGCCTCACAATTGCTGCCATGTTTGAGCCCATTGTTGCAGTCACTGTGTCAATCTGTCGCTCCTTGAAGGTTATCTGATTTTTCAGGTTCTACACTTCACCAAGCATAGTGTCCCTTCCCAGGGATTGATCCTTCCCTTTTTACCTTAGTGATCCAGATAATCACTTATTTTCCTCCCCTCTATTTGCCCTGAAGATGTAGGATTACTTACAGTGGAGTGCTTTTCTTTCAATTATTTGTAGGGCATGTAAATTATGACTCATCTTTTTCGTAAAATGCTAAAATTAAATGTATGGTTTAGGATGCTCACAAACGTTCTCTTGATTCCAAACTGGCCTCTTTTAAATTTCCTCAAGTTATCATCACCAAGAATCTTCATTATTTACTCCTTCCTCTTTAAGAGAAGTAAGGGACAATGATGGCAGGCAAGCCTGTTTCCAGAATGAAAAGGTTATGAAATGCGCCTTATTGATACGCTTGCAGCAACGACAGCAAAAACTGGTGAGGAGGGATTGCCTGTGATTTGGGGGCAGCATTGATGATATGCGCATAGGGGTTTTTTGGGTAGTTGGGGTTCCTTCATACTTTTTCATTGAGAATAACAGTGATCACAGCTGTGAAGGCGTTGTCACCTTCAGATGCAGAGGAACAGCTGCAGTCCTCTGTGTGTCTTTATAAACTGTTTCATTGGTGGGTGTTGCCCGTGCCAGCAAGTAAGTAATCTGTCAATTCCTGTCATGCTCTATAAATTATAGGTAAATGTGTGGTAAGCCTCACTGTAGCACTCCTGAATTGTAACCAGGCAGGCCAAACTGGGCTTCTTCTACTTGATTGATTGATTTTTAAAACGGAATTAAGAGATGCTCCCTTAATGAAAAAAATAGCTCTTAATTCAGCATGAGTTGTACTGATTAATGTAAAAATACGAATTATACCTTCCTGTGGTGCATCTGTGAGGAAGCAAGAGACAGGCTCGGATCTTCTCTTTTCGCTTACATGGCTCCTTGTTGCCTTGGAAACAGCACATTCAAAGGTGTGTCCTGTAATATATTTCTCAACAAAGACACTGCTGATAGATGAACAAGTATTGATAGTCGTTGAATCATTTGTGTTTTCATATGTTCCCAGCTAGAAAAATGTAGTCACCAATAGACAATGAAAATCTCTATTTTTCTTATGATTTCAAAAGTAATACACATTCATGGTGGAAAAATCTAGAGAACAAACGAAGCTGAAAAGCAAGATAAAGAAGATAAGAGTCATCTGTTATCCTACCATCCTGAGATCACTACATTTTAACTTTCCAGTGTGTTTTTCCATGTGTGGAAAGAAAATTTATGCTGTAACTGCACACAGGAGTTTCAATCCTCATTTTTCACATAGTGAACTTTTGTGTGTTATTATATATATATATATATATATATATATATATATATATATTTTACTGTGGATCATGCTTAGTATTTGTAAAACATTCCACTGAAGGATTTACCATTGAACCCTTATTACTAGACATTTAGATTTTCCCCAGCTGTCTGCTGCTATAAAATAAAGCACCACTGGATGTCCCTAATAGCAATGTTAACTCACATTTCGATTTATTTCCTATAAGTGAAATTTCTGAGTGAAAAGAGATGAATACTTTTCCAGTTTGAATACACATTGGGAAAGTGTCCTCTAGAAAGTTGTCCCAGATTACATCAACACTCACATGGAATATGATTTTCCTTTTGAACCACCTTTGCCCATTTTGGTGAAGGAAAAATGATCTCGTGTTTTGATTTCCTTTTCTGTAATCCCTTAATTGAAGCTAAATACTATATTTATTGGCCATTTTTATTTCTTCTTGTGAGAATAATCCACTCTGATCTTTGTTCATTTTGGATGGGGATCAATGATCTTCTGGATATCTAGAAACTCTTTTTTTATATTAGCGATACTAATCTTAGGTTTTAGACATATCGCTGTTGTTTTGTTGTGATTGCCTCCTTCCCATACCTATACCTTATGCAGTTTCAATTTTGTTTACAGTTTTTTTGTTTGTTTGCTTGTTTGTTTGTTTACGTGCTGACAGATTCTTCAATTCTGGTAAAATAGAAAACTAGACAAGGAAGAAGAAAATGGTCTAGAATTGATTGTGGTGATGATTATACAACTTTTCTTGATACAATTGAATAATTGGATTGTATGACATGTGGATGGAGAGCCAATAAAACTGCTAAAAAATATAAAGAAAGAAAACGAGTAGGTTGGGGGAGATAAACATCTGTTTCATCTCTCCTTTCTTTTCCTGGTGACATTTAAGACCACATGGAACCCTGCTGGTGTAGAGATTATACTTTGGGATGCTAACCTATGATAGGTCAGCACTTCTAAACCATCAGCTGCTCTGCAGAAGAAAGACAAGGCTTTCTACTTCTGTAAAAAGTTGTTGTGTGGGGTTTTTTTTCTTACCATTTTACTGGGGGCTCTTACAGCTCTTATGACAATGCATCCATCCATCCATCCATTGTATCAAGCACATTTGTACATAAGTTGCCATCATCGTTTTCGAAACATTTTCTTTCTACTTGAGCCCTTGGTATCAGCTCCTCATTTTTTCCCCTCCCTCCCCCACCTTCCCTCCTTCATGAACCCTTGATAATTTTAAAATTATTCTTTTTTTTATGTCTTACACTATCTGATGTCTCTCTTCGCCCACTTTTCTGTTGTCTGTCCCCCAAGGAGGGGGTTATATGTAGATCACTGTGATCAGTTTCCCATTTCTACCCCACCTTCCCCTTACCCTCCTGGTATTGCTGTGTTCATTATTGGTCCTGAGGGGTTTATCTGTCCTGGATTCCCTGTGGCTCCAGGTCTTATCTGTACCCGTGTGCATGCTCTGGTCTAACCAGACTTAGAATTGGGCTCATGATAGTGGGTAGGTGGAAGCATTACAGAACTAGAGGAAAGTTGTATGTTTCATCAGTGTTATACTGCACCCTGACTGGTTCATCTCTTTCTTGTGACCCTTCTGTAAGGGAACGTTCAATTGTCTACAGATTGGCTTTGGGTCTCCTCTTTGCACTCCCCCTCATTCACAGTAATATGATTTTTTGTTCTGGGCTTTTGTTGGCTGATACCTAATCCCATCAACACCTCATGATCACACAGGCTGGTCTGCTTCTTCCATGTGGACTTTTTTGCTTCTCAGCTAGATGGACTTTGTTGCTTCTCAACTAGATGACCACTTGTTTCAAGGCTTTAAGACTCCAGACGCTATATCTTTTGATAGCTGGGCACCATCAGCTTTCTTCACTACATTTGCTTATGTGCCCACTTTGTCTTCAGCAATTGTGACCTTATGCACCCACTTTGTCCTCAGCGATTATGACAGGAAGGTGAGCATCATGGAATGCCTGGTTATTAGAACAATGTTCTTGCGTTGATGGAGTACTTGAGTAGAGCTCCAATGTCCATCGGCTACCTTAATACTTAACATATAAATATATGTACATAGATCTATACCCCTATCCTTATATATAAATATATTTA